CAGATAAAAGTGAAATTTTAGAAGTTCACAAGAAAACTAAAACTTTGAAAAATAAGAAACATCATCGTAAACAAAACGTTTCTTCTTTTTCAAGTAGCGGTGATGATAATGATTCGTATTACGGTGGTAAAGAGATAACTTCAGAATCAAGAAGAAAAAGAAAATCAAAAAGAAAGTTTTTTAATTCTTCTTCACGATCAACTGTTCTCACTTCACCGGCAACCTTACAAGTTACCATTAATGATTCAATTACTCGTTTCAGTGGTAAAGCGAATGAGCAGCCTAGTAAGTTCTTGCATGAGTACCAACAGAAAATGCGAACGTTATTTCGGGCTCGTGATTCGCAGTTACTGCACAATATTAGTAATTGGCTGACAGGTGCAGCTGGTGACTGGTATTTACAGCTTTCCCAAGGTCATCATTTGTCGGATACGTGACATGAGTTTAAAAAGTTGTTCTTGTCTCGTTTTCGCAGTCCTGAAAGGATAGAGGCTGTGAAAATTGAACGTAACGGTTACGTTCAAAAAGAAAATGAAACAGCAGCTGATTTCTATCAAAGATATTTGGGATTAAATTTGGAAATTAATCCAAGAACCAAAGAAAATTTACTAAAAAAATACTTTCTTCGAAAATTGAGACCGGAACTTGTTCTTTGGATGAAGGGTGATCCGGCAACGATGTCCTTGGACGAGATACTCAAAAAAGTCGAAGAAGCTGAGATACAGTTATTGTGTCGAAGAAGCTGAGATACAGTTATTGTATCGAAGAAAGGAAGAAATCCAGAGATCACTGCCTAATAGATGGATTTCTACGAATTTTGATTGTGATAAGGATGAAGAAAATCCGCAGGAATTAACGAAATCGTTAACTCGGCAGCTGGTGCGATTGAAAACACCAGAGAGAACAGTTGTTGTTGCTAATCTTGACGCACCTTCTTCTCCATCAACAAATTCTTCTGGTCAGGAGAACCAGGCAGCTAAATTTCCTGTTTTTCCAACAAATAACGATAGAAATCGACCGGCTTTTCTTCAAAATCGACAAACAAATTTTTATGGACGAAATAATAGTAATGGCGGAGGTCAGAATAGTAACAATAACAGTTTTCGTCTGCCTTTTCCTTCTGATAACTCTGTCAATTTTAATCGTTCAAATCCATCAGCGGCAAATGGTAATAGAGAACCGCCAGGACCATGTCCAATTTGTCGTAAAAATGGACATTGGAGAATGGAATGCAGAGTTCCTTGCACTATTTGCAGAAGAACTGGACACAACGCAAATTATTGTTTCCAACAAAGAAGCAATTCTCAGCGTAGTCCATCTGCCGCACCTACTTTTTCCGGCGGTGATGCACAAAATCTACAGAATCCTAATCATTTAAACTGAAAAGGGAGCAGCTGACTGAGGATAAGCTGGCATCCCATACTATTCACAAGTCCTCAATGGAACAGTTCAAAGAACAGGGAAAAATCGAAGCCTTGAAATCCTTATCGCGGCTTCTAAAGCCCAGTCGTGATGGAGAAGAGGTCTCTCGACCTATTGTCGATTCTGTATCGTCGCCATTTTCTTCTGCTTTGTTAGAAATGTCGAGAACTCCGTCATCACCTAAATCAGCGGCTTTCGAACAAAAAGTAGGGACTAATTTAACACTTATTGAGAATTTATTCACAGAAAAATCACCTAACTCTAGTTTTTCTCAAGCGGAGAGTTCTTCTTCGTCATCTATATCTAATGCGACGACTGTTTCGTTATCAACTCCAAAAACAACAATATCTGATCAAAATTATAATTTATCAGATAATTTCAAGCGTGAAAACACCAGAAATTACAGAAAGCAAGAGAGAAAACTAGAGAAGAAGGAAAAATCTACAGTTGGAAAGAATTCTCTCTTTAAAACAGAATCTAAAGGCTTTGCTGCTACGGTGTTGAAATTAGAAAGCAAAATAAAAGAGAATGGTACTTCTTCTAATACTTCAACTTGCTTTTATACCATCAAAAGAGGTTGTGCGTCCGCCAAAGGAAAATTACTTGGCACCATAGGCATCTTTACCTTAGATACACGTGCTGGTGTTAGCATTGTCAGTTTAGACTACTGGCGGCTTTTAAAAGGAACTGAAGCTGTTTTCCCTTATTCTGGAGCTGATATTGTAGACCCAGAAGGCAGTTCTATTGAACCAGTCGGCTGGGTTGAAGCTGATATTACTTTAGCAGGACAAACTTTTAGACATCCGGTTGTTCTAGCTCGCAAATTCAATCAAAGAGTCTTGTTAGGAACCGATTTCATGTTCGAAATAGGTTTAGTTTTAGATGTACAAGATGGAAAATGCTGGTTGAGAGATAAACCGTTGTCTAAATTTTTGCTAGCTACTGATCTTCAGCAGGCCGGTCGCTTGGACATACCCGTCTACGCTGTTCATAAAAAAAGAATTCCACCTTTTCATCAAACTTTCATCACGGCGCAAACACCGTTGGATATTAGCGGACAAAAGTGGGAAGCCACCACCACTTCTGCGAGTTCTCGACTTTCCATTGCCAACAGTATCGTTACTGTTGAACAGAATATCGCTGATGTTATGGTTGCTAATCTGACACCACGATGGAGTTATATTCGTCCTGGACAGAAACTCGCTTTCCTTGATCCTTCTTCTGATTCTAGTCTGCAAAAATCTGATGGATCACTTCAAGAACATCAGGATACATGTACATTTATTACACAGAAATCAGCGATGCCTGATCCAAAAGAAGGACAATCTATTTCCTCTGATAACTGTTCTAAAGACACTTCATCTACTAAATGTGTTAACAGTCCAGAATTATTACAACATCATTATTTATAGCAGAGAGAAAATTTGGCAATCACATTGCAAAGATTAGACGACGATTGCTAGGTCAAGATCCAATTGCACGTCGGATCGAAGATGAGAAAATCAAGATTCGAAAAGATGCTGATGTGAGAGAAGGAGATTTCGGTTCGTCTTTATCGCTTTTTGTTAATAATCAAAGTACAGTTGAGAGGCCAGATCCCTTGACTGCTCTCGTAGTTCGTTCTTTAGCTGAGAATACCGATCTTGCGCGTATTTCGCCAGTCAATCCTCAATTTTATTCACAAACTGCTGAGAAGCAGTTCGGGTCGTTCAGTGATTCTACAGATATACCGGGTGATTGGCTAACTGAACTTGATTTAGCTTCCTCTGGGCTTTCCTCGGACCAAGAAAACCAGTTGCGGCAACTTCTCTTACAATATTCCGACATCTTCTCGTCAAAGCCGGGCCGTACTAATGCAGTTAAGCATCACATTCATGTGGGTGATGCCAGACCGATAAAACAAGGTCCGTACCGCCTCTTAAACCCGGAAAGGAAGGCAGAATGCACTCGACAGACTGCTGATATGCTTAAAAGCGATGTAGTCGAGCCTAGTTTCGGACCATGGGCTAGTCCTGTTACCTTAGTCCCAAAAAAGGATGGCACACTTCGTTTCTGTATCGATTTTCGAAAGCTGAACGAAGTTACTATCAAAGATACCTATCCGATTCCCAGAATAGATGATACACTCGATGCACTTAAAGGTGCCAAATATTTCAGTACTCTTGATCTTTCTTCTGGGTTTTGGCAGGTTGAATTGGATGAAGGTAGCAAGGAAAAGACTGCCTTTGTCACCCATGAAGGCATTTTTCAATTTAAAGTCATGCCATTTGGGCTGACTAATGCACCGGCTACCTTCCAGCGTCTCATGGACCTTGTTCTACGAGGCCTGAAGTGGAGCTGTTGCATGGTCTATTTGGATGATGTCATAATTTATTCACCAACTTTTGAACAACATCCAATAGACATTGATAATGTCCTTAATCGGATAAAAGAAAGCGGCCTTACATTAAAACCATCGAAATGTTTCTTTTGTCGCCGGGAATTAAAATATCTGGGCCATATAGTCAGTGCTGATGGCATTCCACCTGATCCAGATAAATTAGAAGCGGTCCGGTCTTTTTCCGTACCATCTAAACCTAAAGATGTACGAGCTTTCTTAGGTCTTACGGGTTATTATAGGCGTTTTATTAAAAATTACGCAGAGATTGCTGAACCTCTTTTTGAATCGATCAGAGAAAAACATAATCCTATTTTTGTATCCACTCCTGATCGACAGCAGGCCTTTGAACTATTAAAAGAACGCCTTATTTCTGCACCAATTGTTACATATCCGAATTTTTATCATCCATTTACGCTTCAACTGGATGCATGTGACTATGGACTCGGTGCCGTTCTTGCTCAAAGTATCGAAGGCATTGAACATGTCATAGCCTATGCCAGCAGGACCCTGCAGCCTTGTGAAAGAAAATATTCTGCACCTGAACGCGAATGTTTAGCCATTGTCTGGGGCACTCAACATTTTAGGCCTTATCTCGAAGGACGGTCTTTTGAAGTTTGGACCGACATCGGTCCTTAACTTGGTTGAAAAATATAAAAGATTCAACCAGCCCTCTAGCCAGATGGGCCATGAAACTTGATGCCTATGACATGGTTATTAAGCATCGACCAGGAAAGGCCAACTCTAATACCGATACTCTGTCACGCTATCCTCTCAAATCTGAGATAATAGGTGTCTTACAGAGTAGTAGTATTATGATAGGTCCTTTAGAAGAAAATCAGGAGGCTGCAGTTAATCTTTGGGACAGTTGCAGTATTTTAGATGGCATAAAATTGGCGCAACGACAGGACAAAGATCTTGGTCCTCTTATTTCTTTCATTCAAGATGATATTCGTCCTGCTGATGAAATTTTCCTTCGAAAAATAGAGGGACAGGATGCTAAAGTTCACCGAGTAATCGACGGAAAATTATATCGGATCCGCAAAACAGAAGAAGATTCACCTTTGAAAAATAATCTTAGTTATTCGAAAATCTAAGCGGACAGAACTTCTTCAGCTGGCTCATGACCATCCAATTCAGGTCATCTTGGCCGTCGAAAAACTCTACATCGATTAGCAATTCGCTTTCATTGGGGCGGAATGAGGCGTGACATTGCGCATTATGTAAGATCCTGTGGCCTTTGCCAGCGTTTTAAAGCCGCAAACGAAAAGAAAGCAGGTTTAATGCAATCTCACGTAGTGCAATCGCCTTGGCACACTATCGGAGTTGATTTAACTGGTCCTTTACCTAAAACTCTGCGCGGGAATGCTTACATCCTAGTAGTGGTCGATTATTTCACGAAATGGGTTGAATTTTTCCCTCTAGGCATCACGACGTCGAAAAGTCGAAAAGTAGTACATAATGATTAAATCCCTGCTGTAATACTGTTACTAAAATAATAAAAAATACTCCTTAATCAAAAACATTTTACGCATCAAAAACGAAAATATCTTTGTGTTGCTCGTAATGGATGTTAGTTATCAGTTTTCTTGCTAATTATACTCTTCTTGCTAATATACCAATCATTTTCTCAACCATATCTTGATCTAAATTGCGTCGAAAAGCGATTTACCACCTCGAAAGGTTCCGTCGTTAACCATACTGATGTGTAAATAGTATATGAAATACTTGAATTGTTGCATAACCATACAGAAGTGGGGTTTCATATTGTTTTAGTGTAAGGAAAGAGCGGTTACATGTATGATCCTTTATGAATGTAACGAGTGGCACAGGATAAACAGGAGAAGATCATTTTCTTCTTTTAAGGCACTAATCTGTAGTTAGAAGATTATATTCTAGAGTCATTCAATAGAGAGTTTTGCGCTCCAGAAAACCCTGTATATGCAACACCCTTATACTGCGTTGTTACATATAAAAATAGTACACAATAAAGGGAATAAAACTTAAAATTATGATTTACTATCAAGATTTTAGTTACTTTCCAGCTTTTGAGCAACTTTGCCAGAAATTATGTGTTAATTGAGACAATAGAGCTGTATGAAAATGTGCAACGTATTAGAGCAATCATTCGGACTAAACCGTTCGCAGATGTGGACATGGAAATTGTGAGATCGTTAGTGTACAAGACAATTAGCGCTTTTGAACAAAATCAGATCTTGGAAAAGCAGTATGAAGAGTAGCAGAACAAAGTAGTGTGAGTAGAACGCATACAGGGTATGTAGAGCAGATCATCCTCAGGCCCAGAAAGCGTACATCAAGATTTTGTATGGCCTTATATGATTTCATAAGATTTTACAAGATCTAGATCCAAGAAACTAGTAGATTTCAAAAGATCTTGTAAGATTTTGTACGATATCTTTGTAAAAGAATCTCATAAGATTTTATGAGGAAAATGATCTTGTGATAAGATCTTGTACGATCGTCCAAGAAATGACGAGATCTTAAAGTTTTCGCAAGATTATATAAAAAATGCATCAGATCCTACACATTCTTTGTCTTCACTATTGTCTTCAATTCTTACATAGATCCTCTTCAGGAAAATAGTTTTCTTTTTATTATAAAGATAATTGATTTGACAGAGCTAAACAATGAGTTCCCATTTTAAGGATTTAGTTTAGGACATTGTTTAGCTGCTGTCAAATCAATTATCTTTATTTTACGTTTATTACCCGTTAATAAGAATAATTATCTTTCTTTTTATTATATTTTCTAACATATAGGTTGGTCTGTGTTTTGTATAATTCTGCAATCTTATATCGATGTTACTCACATAACCGCTATGGAATGAGTAAAAATTGAATAATCATAATAAAAACAATGAATAATCAACATCTGTCTGAAATATCCAAAAATCTCACAAATGCGATAGTGTGTCAGCGACCTTCGGCGTCCACTGAAATATCGCTATTTCTATGATACTAGTTCACGTATTTCGCTGTTTAAGTGCAGAACTAAAAAGCGATACCCTACGATAAAAACTTTGTTTTAAATGTAAAAAGACTAAACCTTCTAATAATCGCCCTTTTTTATATGTATGTGATCCTCAAGTATTCCACCAAGGATGCTTGCACCACAATGGTCATGATGCACAATAATTTTTTTCTTTTACTTGTGTGATGGTAACGTACTTGTTTACTTGTTGTAAAGGCAACGAAATACACGCGCGTTCTTTTTTTCAAATTGAAAAAAAATTCCGAGGAAGATAAGGACGTTGATCACTAGTTACACTTATTTTTTCCCTTTTTTTTATTCCTATGACATCACACAACAGCAACTCTCTGGATGTTTTTCTGTTTCATTTGAAATCCATCATTAAAAAACAGGTAAACTTATTATTTTTTAATGGAACCTAGAAAATAAAATACTCTTTTAGTGCTTATTCTACTTCTAAAATTTGACGAAGAAAAAACGATCTTGTAGATGCTCATCGTAACAATAGCAAACACATTGTTGTTCTTGTGGAAGGGTTAATGTTACCTTCAGCGAAAACTAAGATTTCCGCACTAAAATTATTTTCGTGAGGGCTTTATTGTGTTTGAGAAATCGCAACTTTTAATAGAAAAGCTTTGTATGGTACAAGTTTACAAATAGTGAAGGTTTCTAAATCCTACAGAAATCAAAGTAGTGATCCTGGAAATTGCTTACGACAAAGTAGAAGGGAGGAAATGGAACGAAATCTTTGTTCTTCAATCTCCACGATAATTTGAACGCGTTTTGAATTATCTTCATCGGTAAATGCTCTTGAGATGGTGTCTGCTATTTGAATAAACGCATCTTATACACTTCGTCTCTGTTTTTCAGTTTCTCACCTCTTTCGACAAATATACCGATGAACATGTCGCGCTTTGCACTCTGTGCCTCGTTCATATTACTCATTACGGCGTGCGATGTGGTGCAAAGCAGCAGTGCCGGATTCACGATTACTGTGGTGGGCCAGCACTTGGATGAGGCCGAAGCGGGTGAAATCCCTGCCTATCATCTCCAGATGCAAGTTGGCCAGACAATGACATTTATTTCACAGGGTATTGTCATGCCGCGCGGTAAGCCCAGCCAGGCAAGTGAGCCGGAAGCGGGCGCGTGGCTGTTTGATGACACCATGTTCCAACTGGTACCACACGACAAGAATCAGTTCGACAAGACACAAATACCCGTTGCGCTCAAAGCACTGGGGAACGTCGTCGGGCAAACACGTGTTCGCTTCGTCGGCAACATTCTCGGATACGACTACAAATACGACGTGCTGGTCGAGGTGATTGGTGAACCGAACAAGTGACCACACTTTTACGTAGGATCACTGTTATTGAGACTCCACGCTAAAAACTTTGTTTTAAATGTAAAAAGTTCAAATTTTCTATTAATCGGCGCTTTTTATGTATGTTTGTAATACTCAACGTTGACTTGGTCGACTTCGAATGTTCGCAGACATCTAGTCCAAATAAATGCAACAGCTATTCGCGTTTTTTTGCAGCAACATCAATGGCTTTAAGAAGCAAAAACATAGGTAATAAAAGCATAATGGTTAATCGTAATGGTCAACTAAATATACTGCAAACAAGGAGTGCACCTCTGGAATTAATGAGCGATGATACGAAAAGTATTCAGCTAGATACGAAACTCCCGTGGAGTTGAAGTGTCCGAGGTAGCTCAACTGGTGAGTTGAGGGTCATGGTGATACTGAAGAGCACAAAAAAGTAACTGCGATACTGTTCGAACGGAGAGTAAAATTTATGAAAGAATTTACTGAAAATTAGATTTTTCCAAGGATAGTGCGACATTTCGAGCACCAAAATAAAGAAGGTGTTACTAAAAAATGGAAACAGCCATGAACATCCACAAACACCCCAAATTAAAATCTGATTTTACCAATCGATAGAGCTTGTTGAACTGAGTATAGATATATCTGCTACAGGGAATAGGGATGCACGGATTTCGATTTAAAACCGAAGAATCGAACATCGATTATACGAAATCGAAAATAATCGAAGATTCGATTGAACAAAATTGAAAATGATCGAAAACGTTTTGCTTACAATTCAACTTGAACGAGGCAGTTCTTAAGGTCAATTCTAGAGTCAAAAATGTAAATTAAATTTTGAAACTTTTTTGCATTTTCCAAAACGCTGTTTTGGATTTTTCACCACGAAGAAAGTCTTTTCCAAAGCTAAGTGTAGAGAGTAAAATATGCCGAATTGAATTCACGCATTTTATTCCGTTTTAACATTTGAAAAACCCGTTAAATGTTTCATCTGAAACGCGTTCTAGAACCTTTGAAAACGCGAGAACTTTACGCAGTTTCTAGTCGCAACGGAGCCCGTCACCCATTCTGGCTTTTTCTGCTTCTCCATTGCTGTTAACTACTGAAACTTTTATTTTATTCACAGAAGTGGCAAAACTGATTCACTTTTCTTATCTGTGCACGACGAAAGGACGTTAGTTTTGCGTTCTGTTCTGACTGTATATTCTTCTATCGCAAATTATGAGTCATCCTGATAGTATTAGATTAAGAAGAACAAATATTGCAATTGTTGACAAATTAAATAATTCAGATAATTTAATGGTGTCAAATTTAAGTACCATTGATGATCAGCTTGGTAATACCGTGAAGCATACAGTGTCGTCTCCTCAATTTCTTGATTCACTTCAACAATCGCTAGTCTTTGGCCCTTTCATTGGAGAATTATGTAAACAAATCACGTCGTCACCCGTTTTCGTTGATTTGATAACATCGATGGTATCTGATACGTTAAAACAACAACAAGAAGAGATTTGTCGGCTACAAAAAACGGCTGATGATTTTTGATGAGACAGTAGCTGATCTCGAAGACCAGGTAGATAAGCTGGAATTGAAATGCGATCAACTTGAACAGTATAACAAACGAAAAAATCTAATCATCCATGGAGTACCCGAGACACAAAATGAAAATACCGACAAAATAGCTGTTGAAATAGCCAAAATTACCGATCATATATTAGATTAAAAATTTATTTATTCCTCACATCGCTTACCATCTAAAATGATAAATGCTCCTCGATCTGTTATGAGTTTTTTTACGATACTCCGATCGACAGGCGATAATTAAAAATTGGAGAAAACTGCGTCAATATGAACGATATAAAACTACTTTTATTGAAGAACATTTAAGTTCGCTGGATAATAATCTTTTTCATTATGCGAGACATAAGTTGATCAAACAGGGAGTAGATACGAGAAATGGAAATGTTCTATATATTGATGCACATAAGAAAATACATTTATTAACATCGTACTCCATTATCGATCAGTTGGCTCTACGTATTTGACATCAAGTATACGGTTAGTTCATTGCTTTACTACTTATTTCGTTTCATAACTTTTGATGATCTCAGCTGATCTCCAGTCATTCAAAACTTTACAGCTGAATTCGGCTTGTTGTTGCTTTTTTATTTCTTCAAAATTTCTTTTCTATAGTAACGATAAGTGCAAAGTTATTTGGGCGAAATTTCAAAAGCACATTTTTATTATACATATCTTTCCTTGTAGTAGAAAATTTTCGCCTCTTTCTGTGATGGTGTGGTGTCAGATTTCTTCAGGTTCGTTTTCTTTTCTTCTACATCCATCATTCATCATTTCAACTAAGGGATGCCGTCAAATTGTTCATCGCTTTAAGCGCTTTAAGCACTTTCGATATTTGATAGATTTATTCACAGAAACGAAAAAAGAAAAGTAAGAAACAATAGAGAGTGAACCAGAGATTTTTTTCCTAAAATAGAAGAAGGGAACAGAAAAGAACGATATAACGTTGATATATGAGATATACAATAGATATTGCTTCTAAGTTTGAAATTTTTTTTGCTTTTGATCCAAATGTTCGCTGCATTCACTATAAAATTACTCTGTATTCTGTGAACTTAACAGATTAAAATAAAACTAACTAGAATGTACACCTCTTCGTTTTCTACGTCAGTTTGAAGTATACAGGATATACTATAAGTTGAACCATTTTTTAGAAAAGGGTACAGTCTATTTTATGAGATACAGGGCTGTCAATAACGGAGCTGAATATGAGACATAGTTGTACTTTCTCTTCTTGCATGTACTTCATCTTCTTTTTACACGATACGATAGAGACGTATTTCAAATCTTTTTCTTTATCATATATGTACATATACTGTATGTATATGTGCACGTGTTAGTGTTAGTTTTACTTTACTTTACTATACTATAAAAAATTTAAAGGAATTCAACTTACTTTTAAAAGTCAAACTTGTCTTAATATATTGGAATGAAACATAATCTCAACCGAATATAATTCGCAGCAGCAAAGAGAAGACTCAGTCAATGGGGTATTTATACGACGAGCAGTTGATCATTATAATGAACAACAAAAAAGTAACTCAAATCTACCTCCAGAAACTACTAGTTCCTCTTTCAAACGGACGCTAACAAATGGCAGTTATTATGGAGAGGAAGTAAATGACTGTTCAAGTGGCGGATGGACAGCGGTACATAGCCGAGGAAAAACTCGACGATACAACGAACCGGCTGAAAGCCTCGAGAAATTCGTTTTCGATGAAAGTAAAAATATAAATAACAAGCTAGGTGGTAATCGACAATATAATTCTAGAACATTCAATAACTCAAATGTTGTAAATTTTGTCCCCAAAAACAAGCAAAAAAATCAGATAAATCAGCATCGAAGGGGGAACAGTCAAGATTCAATTAAGATAATAAATGATGATAACGGGGAAATTTTCATATCGAAGCAGGCATTGTATTACGCAGCTGACACACATTTACCAGCATTTCGTCTTGAGTGTGAACCAAAAATCAATAGTACAGATGATGGACGTAGACTAATTCAATTATTCATCAAACATTTTCGAGCTGATTTTTCTGCACTGAATCCTCTTAATTCAATACCTTTAGCTTTTGATAGTTGGTGGATCGATCGAAGTGGTGATCTATTATGCTTAACAAAAAACGTAGACTTATTCGTTTATTTATGCAATAAAAACCGTTATCCAACAAATTTAAATAACATAAATATCGTTCCTCATCTACCATCGAGATTGCCAGTTCAATTTTCGATTTTATTAAAATTCATCAACAATCGAATATTAATTGACGAAGTTAAAAGTGAGCTCGGGGAGAAATATAAATCCATCTATGCAATTGAAGAGATTAATGGAGGAAAAACGAACTATAGTAGACATTTGAGAATGGATGTCCTATCAAAAAACGAATACGACGAGGTTTTAAATAGCAGAA